ACCCTTGCATTTGCATTGATATACAGTACTCTGGCTCTGTGATTGCATATTAGCTGATGCGATCTTTGTATCAGTTTGCAAAAGAGACAGGATTGCTATTGAAAAGTATTTCACACTAAAAAAGGACAAATCAGTTTACCTGTAATAAATTTTTTTTTTTTAAACTGACTAAAATTAAAAGGTAGTTATGTTTAATATCTAGGCCCTACATGTACATTTTGACATATAATTAGAGAATCCTAAAATTCATACACGTGCAATGTAATTCTTACCCGAATGAACATGTATATGCCTGCATAATTCTGCTTTTTAGATAAATCTAAGTTCTTATTTGATAAGCAACTTGTTTTGAATGAAGTTTAATTCAATTTATTATGATGCTGTGGTTGAATATCTCAAATTACTGTTTTGGTCTTTTGGTACACATGTGTACACTACAACAATGGTTCAGGCTGTGTGAAGTGGGAAAATAAAAGCGCTTTAGAGCACCCAAAACACACATCAAATACGAGTAGCCAGCCAGAGGCACAGAATTAAGAGGCTGTCAATCTTTTGAATGGAATGCACTCGGCTCAGACTTGTTTTTCAGGTAGAAGGGGGTTAATGGAGGGTTGAAGTTCATACTCAACTAGTATAAGAAGGGAAATATTGCAATGTCAAAACTCTCTTTCATGCTAGCCATTGTGACACTTGTGCCATGTTCAATTTCTCAACATTGGAAGAAATCACCCCAACTATTCATTTAATTAAAGGAGAAGAAAATCAAGAGATAGGTACCAATTCATAGTATGTTTAGCATACAACATTTCATTGATTTGATTCCCGGTTTAGCTGTAATGATGGCCTTCTCTAAGCTCTATCATTGAACACTCTTTTGTGGATGTATGAAAGACATTGTGTGCACTATAAAGAGAGCAGCTTTAGGTCCCCCTTGACTCCCTTCTGATAAATCAATGATAGTCTTGGTCCCACAATCAAATATTTACTTTCTCTATTTAACGAGGCTAGATTTCATGCCTTAGATCTCTGGTCTGCGAGAAAGCACCCCGATGCTGGGCTCATTTAAACAATATGCCTCAAATTAAGTTTGGAAACGGGGCAGCTAAAAATATGCCTGGCTGGTGTGCGGGGCTGCCAGTGGAACAACGTGAGCACAGAGTGAGGCCGGCCGGCCGCATTGCGTGCTTCATGAATGTTTGTCTCCATATTGATTACCCCTGCTCGAAAGAAAAACAAGGCATAGCTTCGTCCCAGCAAGGGATATTGCTTAGCGGTATAATGTAGGTACGGGAAGGATACGGGTGGGTTATTACGTGAATCCGAGATTTTATTAAAACGGTATATAAATGTTTGAGAAATGCAAGTGAGCCAGCCCCTGGTGGAATGCAATCTCATGCTGGGAACCGGGTTGCTTTGAAAGGACATTTGGAGCATGAAGGCCAACTGACAAAAACAGACCAACCCAAACTGTAGGGTCGATCTACATGCACATTATATGAAAGATTCTGTTGGTATTGTACATGTATTTAAAAACAATAGACAGACTGACAGAATGCTGCACGGATTTAAAGGAGTAGAAGAACAAGGTTTAATTTAACTTGCAAGAGTGAAGTGAGCAAACTTTCACCAAGGGAAGACCCTGATTTAATCATGATGATAAGATAGATAAGATAATTTATTGGTTTCCACAATATCTCATTTTTTGTTATGCTCTAATGTAAATTTAGCAAAAATACTTAACACTTAGATAGAAATTTTCAATTAAAACTGATCTAGTTTTTAAGCACATTGTGCAAGAAACAAGTAAATCTTTACCCCACAGTACTCATGTACACGAACATGTATGTACATTTAGATCCTAATTGACTATTTTATTCCTTTTGCAGGATAAAAGCCATAGCCCCCTGACTCCAGCTCTGCCGGCATGCTGGTATGTGTACTGGCTGCCCACGTCTTGTTTTCTGCAAACCTGTCAGAATCAAATGTGTTTATATCTTGAATCTGTCAGCCAGATATATGTATATCCCATGTGCCCCGGTAACCAATGGTGCATATCGCACGAGCACTGCTCCATCCATCACACAAATTAATTTTTCTAGATTTGTCCCCATTAATTCACCCACTATGCCATTTCATATGAGCACATAGAGTGTGATTGCCGGACAGGGAATAATCAGGCTGTATTACCAGCCTGATGTCTATGAGGCAGGCACAGACTCCACTTTGAAGAAAAAAATTATTGTGTCTGAATTATAGACTACAACAGATTTTCGTTGTTTGTCTCTCAGCCTTTCATTGCTAGTGTACATCTACCTAATTCAGACCTTTTGTTGGGAGTTATGATTTAGGATTGTTTGTGCCTTTAAAGCAATAAACAGCTACAACTCGACTCTGTGAGCAGCATGGACATAGTGAAGTCTAACCAAGATTGAGCAGCCACATTTACCATGCCTATCAGATGTAGCGCAGTGATAGTTAAGACCCTGTTTTAATGTTGGCAATTATTTGTGCTGGTTAAAGACTGCCACTCTGAGGCTTGTCTGTAGGCGCTGACTCTATTTTGATGTTTAAAAACAATTCAGTTAAGCTTTGAGCTAAGTCTAGTTGTGGCAGTACTGGGAGAAGACATAGTACAGGTTCTGTATAGAGCAGTCTCCATAGTCTTATACTTCAGACATTCTTCTGTCTGTTAAAACTAACTTACAGCTGAGGAGGGATTGTGCCTGCCAATGAACTACCCCTTGGGTTTGGCAGTGCCTCTGCGTTTGAGCTGGGTCATTCATGTGTGGAGAAAGAGGATGGCAAGAATCCAAGATGGTGAGATCAGAGATGGCTGGCTGACTGACTCAAGAATGTCTGTGTGTCATCTGGATGGTGTCCTCATTTCTAGTGGACAGGCAGGTACAAGGAGCAAATTGAAATGAAGCCCACCGTCATTATGCCCTCGGACTGTGGATGCATGGGCAGGGAGATTGACATTTCATGAACTTTAAATCTAGCCATCATGTACAAGTTATCAATATGTTTCATAAGACATACATATAGTCTAATTCAAATGATATCATGGAGATGGGAGAGATGTACATGTATGATTCTTCTGTGAAAGCTGTCCTTTCACATACACATACACATAGTAGTAGAAAGGGAGGGGGGGGGGGGGGTGGAAAGGGGTATTATAATTACTGAGTGCCACCAATGATGGAAGTACTACATGTATGTAAACTTTGTTTAAGCATTTTGTTTTCAAAAAAATGAAACAAATCAAAACGAACAATAAACAGATAGAGTAATATCATAATACAATTTGTGTTATGTAGAGTATTTTAAATTGTGACTCTATGCAGACTTTCATGCTTTAGAACAAAAGGCACATAAAGCAGCAGTGAGAATATGCCTTTGGCCGTGGGCTGGCTTTCCATGCTTGGTGACCGGTTGATGAAATATGAATGTCATTGCCTGTACCTGGGAATGTTTATACCTGGCATGCATACGCCCCATTAGCTCATTTTGCTTCACTGGTAACTGGACAAGCGCTGCCTGCCAGCACGGGATCCCTCCCCTCTTCATGCTTGGCTCCATGTCCTCAAATCAATAACAGGTCTGCTTGGGGGATGAACGGGAAGAATTGTGACCTTTGCGAAAAGAGACGTTTTTTGTTCTTGAAACTTTGGGGGAATTGTCTAAAAGGGAAAAGTTAAATGTATTGGAGCAGTGTTTATGCAGATTAAAATGATTTGAAATAGCACCCGGAAGGTGTAACAGTGAAATGAAGAGAAATGGATAACCTACATGTACATGTATAGTATACAAAGGAAGATTAATCTACATGTAAGTGCAAGGCTGTTTTTATCTTGACACAGGTTTCTGATATGCCTTCAGTTCAAGATGTATGGATGTGTATGATGTTTTGTGCTGATTTTGAGTTTGAATGGTCTTATATTACACGATTTTTGTTGAAAATTTGTTTATCTTAAGTGTTTCTTGAGTCTTATGAATGCAACATCAACTTTAAACATCTTCAAATGCATCTTCTGGATGAAACATTTCAACATAACCCAGCTAAACCTTTCTAAAGCCTGACTTAAAACTCAATAGCAACCTTAAACCCTAACCATATATCTTTGATAAGAGTCTGTAGCAAAAATTGATAAGTAAAACACTAAATATCATATAGCAATTTTAAGTGATGGTTATAATAGATATAAGTCCATGCTTGGATTTCCCCTTTAAAAGCCTTTAATAGTTGATAGAAGTTGTTGGGAGCTGACTGAGCTTGATAATGTGCTCTTAATTACAGAGGGCCCCTTTGATTGCATGATATGCGTGGGGTTATGTGAGTGAATGAAATTAAAGCAGCTTGGATAATAGAATTTATTTTCTGGTTCAGTTCATGCTGAGCCATAATGGTCTGGCACCCAGCTCGATACACTTATATGTAGGTTGGGAAATAACTGGTTGTATAAGGCTTGCCCCTGTGATGACTGTTCTGCATTCAATACCCTACACTAACTAAATTCCTGACTTGAACGCTCGACCAAACATTATACACTTTTCTATAACCATGCCTAATCCTAACCTCATACATGTATCTTTGACAAAATAAAGCCTTGAGAAAGTGTCACAGGAGCAAATGTTGGATCACCAAATAAAGAAGTCATTCAATAAATACAATTTAATACTCAACAAGAATGAGAACATTGCAGTAGCTTATAAATAGTGGGGCTCCAGAAAGCAGAAAGTTATCTCTCAAGCTTTGGTCTATTAGTCACAGTAGAGAAGGGGAAAATTTATAAGTTTTTAAATGTTTGGTGTTCTGTTATACTTTGTAAATGTAGAAGGATATTTTGTCTTGTGAGTATGAGGATGAGTATTCTTTGAATCTGTACTGCCTGTTGTCTCCCGCCCCCTACAAACAAATCCTTCATTTGTGTTTTACGATCTCTACATTTTTCCAACCACATTGTTATGTTTATTCTATCTTTGTTTATTTACTTTTCTAGATGTGATTTTTTGACCAGCCTGATTGAGAAGTCTGATATTACTCGCCTATGAAACACCCATCCAAGTCTCTACTTGTATGCTCTTGAATGTGGATGTACCAACTTGCCATGAATTGCAAATGATACCTGGTAAGTATTCAGAGTGATTTTTCAATTCAGCCTCATCTCCCCATCTGTGTATGCAGAGAGGGAGGGGGAGGGGAAGGGAGGGGTACACGGGGTACATGCGGCCGTCATTGTTGGCCAAACAGCTTGTGATCATCAATGAACGCCCGGCTGGAATGCTCCCTAGGGAGTGGAGATAGTGCACACTGTGTGCGGGCAAGCACTGAATCCAATGACTGGGGTAATAGTATATTTGTAAAGCGCTTAGAGACATTTGTATTAATTATTATTATAATTATTTTTAAGGGAGGGGAAGGGAGGGTGAGGGAGGAAGATAAAAGGAGAAGAGATGGGGAGGGGGAGGGCAGGGCAGGGTCATGGGGCGGGGTAATGTATACATGTATACATCTGACATCATGGGTGTCAGACAAAGGTAAGAATCACAAATAAATGTTTGTGTGAATACATCCTGTGCCTCCAGCTGGCTTTGTATGGCTGGTGTGGATTTTCATAGATTTTTCAGTTGAGATGTTGTGCAGTTTGGGGTATCTGAATATATACATTGTTGAGTACGATGCTAGACGATGCTAGACGATGCTAGGGATCACAGATATAGTGTATGTGTAAACACATCATTTGCCTCCAGCCGGCTTATGACCGCTGGCAGGTTTTTTGTAGATTTCCCAGTGGGGATACCATGCAGTCTTGGGACTAGGTGTAGTAAAGATCACAGAATAAATGTATGTGTGAACACGTCCTTCGCCTCCAGCTGGCTTTGGACAGTTGGTAAAGGTTTTTGTAGATTCCCCAGTAGGGACACCATGCAGTCTTGGGACCAGGTGTGTACATGAGCATGCATATTGTTAATTGCTATGCAATGCAATCTACACCATTCCCTCTTTCCTCATCTCTTAGTAACTTGAACTTTTGTTTATGGCATCCCTGATACTCCGGACTTGTTTTGTTTTAGACTTTGATGGCAAATCAAGATGGCTTTGACAATGACATTGTGATTAGTCCATAATGCATATATATTCTTTTTACCACAAGAGTTCTAGTTGATGTTGCTTTCACTAAGGGCTTATTATGGGCCTATCATGGTAAAAGTGAGGTACATGTATACTACACCTTGGTTGGAGTTGAGTTTAATAGTGCACAAAATTGTTGCTAGAGTATCTACTATGTCTTGCAAAACATGTACATCATTATTTTGTTTATTACCTTAAATGTTAACGAACAACCTTATCTCTTCTGAAACAGGGAGTCTGTCTGACCTCATTCATCCCATTTGTGCGATAGGAAATATTGCATTTTGTGCAGGAAACAGATATGATCTCCATTAGGCTGAATTAATACTCACTAATCTTAATGAGATTGCGGTTAACATTTGAACATCATGTAGAGTATTAAGCTGACGTGCAAGACTACACATTTCTGTAGTTTATTATTATGACAGGCTAAAGGAAGCATATTTTTGTATGTGCCCCTACTCCCCCCCCCCTCAGGAGGGGGGGGGGGGGATATTACAAGGTATGGTGTATGTAATGTGTATCAGGGTAGATGAATTTAAAAGCCAAACAAATCTCCATATCCTGCTTTTGAGAGTAGTTGAAGAGGGATTGACATGTTTATATTTTTATAGACTAACCAAAGTCGATGAATACTTCTTTATCCAACATTGTTGATATTACAAAATGTGCTCTTAGATCATAATGCAAACAACATTAGTAAGAGATTGTGCAATATAAGTTTATGTGGCGATGATTATATCCATCTATTGTCTCACATGTTTAGACAGTGGTAGTTTGAAGCGATGGTCTGAAACCATGTTCTGACTAATTTGCCTTGTTTGCTCGAGTTTTCTTTCAAACAGGATTTTTCCAAGAAGAGTTAGTTTCATTATCATTTCACACTTGACAGGAAAAAAAATCAATTAAAAAAATCAACCTAATTCCCCATTGTTATGATGTTAGTTATAGAAAATTGTATACAGTAAAACCTGTATATTGTGAAAGTATTTCCTTGTATAATATTTTCCATTTAATTTGAGATTCTATTCTGGACGGTGAAGCATAACAACTTATTCATAAAGGTCAAGATCCACTTTAGCAAAGTTGGCTAGCCTACCTAGTGGCAACTAGGGATCTTACTCTGTAGGGAGTTTGTTTCAAGTCCTTTGAATATTTGATACATGTACCATGTAGTCCGTGTTCTTGGGAGATGCCGCAGAGTCAGATGAGAGGGACAGAGAAAGTGTAAGAACCCATGAAAAGTTGATGTCTGGCAGGCTTTTACTTTTATTTGTGTTTTATTTGTTATTATTATCATTATTTTTTAATGAAAAACAGAAATACAGAAAAGGAAAGATTTAACTGCAACTTGATATTATACAATTTGGAAGAGATGTGCTGGTCTAGTGCACACGTCAGTCTGTGAATCACATTTTTAACTTTTGGAGTCCCCGCAGCGGCATTAATGTGCTTTGGCAAGACATTAATTAATGTACATTTGTTACTCTCTAACCAGGCGTTAAATGGGTACCGGTAGGAAGGAATTCATCTAATGCTATCAATATCTGCATTGACTGAAATGTTGACTTTGATGGGCATTATTCAGATAGCAAGCATATCACTTCACTTGTTTAATTAACAAATCATTGGAAACATAACATCCATGACATGCAACATTATAGGAAAAAGGCTGTGTAAAACCAGTTACCACTCCTGTGGAATAACCCAAATCAGTACGCAGTCAGGAATCATCAATTCTAGGCAAAACTAGCCTTCTAAACTGAAAACCTTTCAAAATATGTCACAATGGGTGAGACTTCTTATCGGAAGGCTGCATTTTTCGAGAAAATGTCCTCGCCCTATTTGTGAAAGTTTAAGTGACTTTTCACCGAAAAATCCATATCTTTTGCTGTATTTTTTGGTTTTATACCGTATTCAAAATATCGGCTTTCAATTTAATATTGGTTATTTCTCTTTAGAAAAGTTTAACTGAAGTTTAAATGAATAGTTTGGAGGCCAAGCCCATTAAACAGGGTTTAAAGGTAAAATCTCTACCTTGCTACACCAAGAAGGATTAATCTTATTGAGGGAGAATTTGCCTTGTTTCGAAGCAATTATATTAGTCCTGTATCTGTTTTTTTCATTTGACCAATATGCCTTAAAGGGATAGTTGAGTTCTGTTTTCAGACCGCAAATGCCTTCAAATTGCATGGTTATTGCTCTTATTCTTATCTATGACATTTCTAGTGCCCATTTAAAGCTGAAATTGCTAAGAAGGTCATTTTAGACCCCAAAATGTGTGAAATTTAGCTAATACGAGCATACCAATTCGGCTCCACTTTTTAAAAAACATGATGACCGTTAATTAATTATTTAATTAAAAATAACAATTCATGGGCCAGCTGGTTGTGCGTAATAAAAACATCAAGAAAATGCCAACAAAAAAGCCAACATCGGCATTTGCTGAAATATGACGTAAAAGGCGTTATTTCATTTTTTTTCAACGGTTTTTTCAAATTTGTCAAAATATCTAATATTTGTGGTGGTACACAAGTATTAGAAATCGTTATATTTCAGCCGTCTCTGAACCGATTTTGATCAAACAAAGATGAATTCGTCATTTAAATATTATGTTCTTTCAAATTTGGATAATGGATAATGGATTGGGAGGACCAGCTTAATTTCTATATTTTACTGGCCATTTGTCTGCTTGCTCAGCGCACATTCCCCTTTCAATTTTCAAAAGGGGATGAGAGAATGAGAGATAGAAAGGAAATAAATGGAGATGGGGAGAAGGACAAGAAAGAAGGTTATATGGCTTATCTGTCTCCAAATTACAACAAGACGATCTTAGTGATGTGGGGAACAATGCTTTAATAGAGACTTTAGAGATCTATTATGTACATGTATGTTTTGTAAGCTAGTCCTTGATGTCAACATACATACCAATGTTCATTGCAGATTTATAACAAGTGTAAGCACAGAGGCAGCTCCAACGCCAAATAACATAAGTTTGCCTGACAGCAGACGCAGGGAATACTCAATTAGTAGCATCTAGAATTTTCTCTCGATCGTCCAAATTGGGGCATGGCTAGAATAAGTGAATGTGACTGCTTGACTAGATTCACAGGTTTCAGCAATAACATTTAATATACAAATAATATAGTAATGCTGTCATTTAATAGCCACAGTTCACCATAAGATACCTTTGCATTTTTAATGTCACAGGTTCCTACTGAATTGGAACATTGATGCTATCAACAGTGTATAAATAAAAAATGCATACATCATTAATAAAAAATCCTTTGCCAAGGAGAGGGTGGCGTCTTGAATAAGCTTTACATGTACGGGTATGTAGGCTTCTATACCATGCCTTACACATCCTTACGTATTATGATCTACATCTTTATCTAATATGTTTAAAGGCAATATAGTGCTACCTTCAAGAGAAAAACTGACAGGTATTAGCCCACCATTTATTACTTGCATTTCTCAGAATTTCTTGATAATACAAGGGCAGTGTATGCATTTTATTAAAAACATCTACCATGGGTTAAATTGTAGGACCTACATGTACGTTAAATCACCTACTGTCAGATAAAGTGTCCTATTTTTTTCTGTACGTTTAAACCAGGTCTCTTTCAAATATTTTCATTTTCCGACAGAAGAAAACACTAGATTGTAAAAGTACTGATCCCCCCTTCCACTTAATACCTACCACCCCCCCCCCCCCCCCTTAGTGCTTCATTGGATGCTTGGACAAAAAAAATGTTGTTTCTTGAGCTGGGTAAGCCTTATCAAGACTACCCATGGTTGTAGCTAGAGCAGCTTGATACAGTACAGGGCCTATGAGATGGAGGCTCTGTAGTCTTTCAGTTCACACTCTGTGTTTTAAATCATAACTGACAAGGGTTTGTGTCTTCTATCTACTCAGCTAGACTGAATGTGGCACGGGCACTCAATTACCCTATCAGCTGGCTCCGTGCTTATAAGTTAGAGAGTTGTAAACCACCACAGCCTGGATATACATGCTTTACTCACAGGGCGAGTGAAAGTGACACCCTTTGTCTATGAACACCAGGCGTTTACAACAACACCGCTGATAACCAAAATAGTTTAGCCCTGACAAAGTGCGTGTGAGACCATGGACCTACTAGGACTGAGGTCAGTGATGGTAGCTTGAGATAGAGGTGATAGAATCAAAGCTCCAACATTAAGTATTAAAGTGTGAAGGGGATTATACAGCCAAAGCTCGATCTCTTTCTCACTTTCACCCATCGCTGTACTGTTGTATCTCGACTAGAAATGTAGATTTAACGTAGTAAGTAATCAGACTTCTTTACTTTTCATTGCACTTTGCACATGGATATTTTAAAATAGCATGCACATTTATACATCTGGGTAGATAACATTTTAAGCCATATCATCCAGATCTAATTTCATGTAGTGAGTTATAACATACCGTAGTATAAAAAGTAAGATACATACTTGCCACCTTGGAACTCTCAGCTGAGTGCTGCAGTGGGGGGGGGGGGGGGGGGGGGGGGGGGGGGGGGGCTTTCATCGAAAGGGTGCGGTGCGGCGCGGCGCGGTGTGGTGTGCTCAACGCACCCATTCGATAAAAGAGGGGGGCCTTTTCTCGAAAGGGTGCGTTGAGAGCGGAGTTCCGTTTTAACACACCCTTTCGATGAAAGCGGGGGGGCTTTTCTCGAAAGGGTGCGTCGACTAGTCTTTCGCATCAGTCGTTTAAAATGAGGATCTCGGACAGAAGGTAATAGTGCCAATTTAAGTATATCGAAAATGTATTAAATAAAATGGAATGTCTTGATTACAGAGTGGTCTCTTTCGTTATTACTATGTTGATGGGGGAGACAGAGAGAAGGAGGGAAAGGGAAGATAACAGGAAGAAAGAAGAATAAGAAAGAGAAGAGGGAAACGGGGGGGGGGGGGCGAAGGACTCTTGCCAAAAAATAAATCAGAGAGAGAGAGAAGGGAAAGGGAAAGGGAAAGAGAAGATAAAAGGAAAGAAAGAAGAGGAAGAAGAAGAAAAGAGGGAAACGTGGGCAAAAGGGCTTTTTGCCTCCTCCCCCCCCCCCCCCCGCCAAAACAAATAAATAGGAGAGAGAGAGAGAAGGGAAAGGGAAAGGGAAAGAGAAGATAAAAGGAAAGAAAGAAGAGGAAGAAGAAGAAAAGAGGGAAACGTGGGCAAAGGGTTTTCCTCCCCCCCCCCCCGCCAACAAATAAATAGGAGAGAGAGATAGAGATAGAGAGAAGGGAAAGGGAAAGGGAAAGAAAATATAAAAGGAAAGAAAGAAGAAGAAGAAGGAAAGAGGGAATGGGGGAAGGGCAAAGGCTCTTGCCTCCTCCCTCCCCCCCCCCCCGCCAAAAAAATAAATAAGAGAGAGAGAGAGAAGGGAAAGGGAAAGAGAAGATAAAAGGAAAGAAAGAAGAGGAGAAAGAAAGAAAAGAGGGACACGGGGGCGAAGGGCTCTTGCCCTCCCCCCCCCCCCCCACCAAAAAAAAATAATGAGAGAGAGAGAGAGAGAAAAGGAAAAAGGGAAAGGGAAAGGAATATAAAAGGAAAGAAAGAAGAATAAGAAGAAAAGAGGGAAACGGGGGCGAAGGGCTCTTGCCTCCCCCCCCCCCCCCCCCCCCCCGCCAACAAATAAATAGGAGAGAGAGAGAGAGAGAGAGAGAGAGAAGGGAAAGGAAAAGAAATATACAGGAAAGAAAGAAGAAGAAGAGGAAAGATGGATACGGGGGAAGGGCGAAAGGTTCTTACCTCCCCCCCCCCTTCCCGCCAAGAAATTAATAAGAGAGAGAGAGAGAGAAGGGAGAGGGAAAGAAAATCTAAAAGGAAAGAAAGAAGAGGAAAAGAATAAGAAAAGAGGGAAAGGGGGCGAAGGGCTCTTGCCAACAAAATAAATAAGAGAGAGAGAGAAGGGAAAAGGAAAGAGAAGATAAAAGGAAAGAAAGAAGAGGAAAAGAAGAAGAAAGAGTTTTAAACGGGGGGCGAAGGGCTCTTGCCTCCCCGCCAAAAGTAAATAAGAGAGAGAGAGAGAGAGAGAGAGAGAAGGGAAAGAAAGAAGAGGAAGAAGAATATAAGAAGAAAAGAGGAAAACGGGGGCGAAGGGCTATTGCCTCCCCCCGCCAAAAGTAAATAAGAGAGAGAGAAGGGAGAGGGAAAAAAAATATAAAAGGAAAAAGAAAGAAGAGGAATAAGAAGGAAAGAGGGAAACGGGGAAGGGCGAAGGGCTCTTGCCCCCTTCCCCCCCCCCCCCCCCCCCAACAAAATAATAGAGAGAGAGAGAGTGAAGGGAAAAGGAAAGAAAATATAAAGAAAAGAAAGAAGAGGAAAAAGAATAAGAAAAGAGGGAAACAGGGGCGAAGGGCTCTTGCCTCCTCCCTCCCCCCCCCCCCGCCAAAAAATAAATAAGAGAGAGAGAGAGAATCTGTTCTGATCCTGGTCCTGATCCTCAAGAGGATAGAAAGAAGACCAATAAGAACGTTATCGTTCGAGAGAGAGTGTTTGTTGCTTCTAGAACATTTTAGAATTAAGTCCCATCACATTGCAGTTGTGGGGAGGGACTATGATTATTACCCCCTTGGATGCTTCCCAGAGTCTGGCTTTGAAGTTTCGACTGCGTTGCAGGCAAAGATGCTGGGGGGGGGGGGGGGAAGTAAGTCCAGGCCCGTACGGTTCTTGGAAAGAAGGGAGATTCGATATATCCGTCTTGCATCTTATGTTGGAGAAGGAGAGGGAAAGAGAAGATAAAAGGAAAGAAAGAAGAGAAGAGGAAGAAGAATTTGTGTTCTGCCAGTGTCACAAATAGATATATAAATATGCTCATCTGACGATAATTTGATGTATAAAACCTCTCACCTTCTTGGGGCTCCGCCCCTTGGATCCAACACCAATTGTGTCCTGCCAGTGTCACAAATAGATATAAAAAATATGCTGATCTGACCGTTATTTATTGCCCAAAACCCCTGAGATCCGGGTGCATCCCCACCCCTGGACCCCACCCCAATTCGTGACCCCTGTGTCACAAATAAGGTATAAAATAATAACAATTTAATGGACAAAACTCCTGAGCTTCTGGGGGCTCCGCCCCCTGGACCCAACACAAATTGTGTCCTGCCACTGTCACAAATAAGGTATAAAATTATGCCATCCGACGTTAATTTTGATGATTAATACCCCTGAGCTTCTGAGGCTCCGCCCTGTGAAAAAAACGTTGTAAAAAAAAAACACGTAAATTTTTACCGTTTTGGGAGATAACCCCCCCCCCCCTGGCGTTCAAGGGGGGGGGGGGGTACGATTTTTCAAATTTTTGAGAGCCCCAAAAAAGATTAGTGCTCTCTAGTAATTTCGCGACTACTCCGGAACCGCGGCAGATATAAAGTTTTTCTTTTCATGACTTTTTTCTTTCGAATCTTACGCATCTTTTGAAATATTTTTTTTTTGAAAATCGGACGTATAATTGCGGAGTCACGTGACCTTTTGTTTTTGCATGTCAGCCCTAAAATGGCTCATTTTTGTGATTTATGTACATATGGAAATACCATTTATTCTTTTAAAAAAAAAGAGAAAACATGGTTATTTGTCTTGTTTCAAGTTAATGTGTTTGATTTTGGGTAAAAATAGTTGAATTGTGGTTAGAATGAAATGAAATAACAAAATAATATAATACATAAACACAAATTATCAAAACAAGAGATAACATAGGGATAAACTGGCTCTTCCAACTTTGTTGTCGTATCATTATTCTAACGAATATATGAAGTGAAAAGAACGCTCGAATATGAATTATATATATGATTATGGGTAAAAATGTGAATTCTCTGACCTTGTTTGCATAAATTACCAAAATATGCATTTTCGCGGCGATCGGCTGTGAAACGGCCGAGATCTCAGAAGGGGGACCCCCCCCCCCACCCTCAAGTCCACTCCAATCACATTGAAAAGTATGACTTAATCATCTCTCTCATCATTATATAGTATTCATGTTTTTAATATTATTTATTGTCCATTAAACAAGTTCATAGAGAAAATACATATCTCTCTGCAACATTAAAAAAGAATCTTCATTAATATGTCTTAATTTGTATTGATAGCCTTGTGGTCGCCAACAGTGGCGTAGGCAGGGGCGTCTCCAAAGGGGGGTGTGGGGGTGCGACACCCCCCCCCACCTGTCAGGATATGGTCGGTAAATTGCGCTGCCGTCGGGAAAAAAAAGAGAAAGGGGAGAGGGGAAAAAGAGAGTAAAAGGGAAAGAAAAGAACAAAAGAAAAAGAAAAGAAAAAAAAAAAGAAAAAAGAAAAAAAAGGAAAGAAAAAGAAGAAGAAAGAAAAGAAAGAACAGAAAAACGAAAAAGAGGGAGAATAGAAAAGACAGGAGGCAAGAGCCCTTCGCCCCCGTTACCCTCTTTTCTTCTTATTCTCCTTCTCTTCTTTCTTTTCTTTTATCTTCTCTTTCCCTTTCCTTCTTTCTCTC